CCAAGAGTATTACATTGATTTTAATTTATACTATTATTTATCCCATTTGACGTATGCGAACACTATTTATGTATGCATCGCATGAATAAATTCTATTCTATTCTAAAAAAAACTACTTATTTCGAAAGGCATTTCTTTTCCAGTTTGTATCTGAAAGTAATGTTCATGTGAAAAGTTTATTTTGAACTTAATTTCTCTCTTCCTTCAGAAGTTTCCCACATTTTTCCGGAAGTGGAAAAGTTGAAAGCCTTAAAGCTTTTCGTCTCATATTATTATTCATTGAAATCCATTTCTCCCAAATATCAACAGTATGTGTACTGTGAATTCAATAATATCAATGCCATTTAAAATTCCTGATAGTGATGAAATCATTGATAATTATTTCCCTCCACAAAATATACGTCAATGAAGATCTCAAATGGATCATTTCATTATCAGATACTGAAATAACATTTCATAAAAGTAATATCAACTGATATTTTCACGACATTTCAGAAATCTGGCAGAAATGGGACCAATTATTATGTTTAAAATAGATTTTTTCAAAGCCGAATTGAAAAAATTAATATTTCGAAATAACTGTCAGAAAACAACTACTTTCCTGGGTGCAATGGATTTTATAAACGACAGACATTAACATGTTCGAAGATTTCATTTTGGAATATTCATTTTCTCAAACATATGCCTACCTCCTCGAGTAACTCTTCTCAATACAGTCATCAAACTTGATTTATATTTGTCGAATTGAGTCAATATAGGTAATTACTTCAGTAAGAGCTGGATTGATAACATTCTGGACTGAATCCAAGTATGAATCACCGTTTGAATTTTCAGAAATTATTGTGGTGATCGAATAGAGCATTCGAAAAGAAAATACACGAATCAAATAGGGGATTGCCATTTCCTATCGCTAATTCAAACATAATTTCGCAAAATTGCATGGAGTGATCATAATCTTCGTCATTCTTCACTAAATCTCCGGATGAAACGTGTACTTGTACAATATACGCGGCGATAGATTATCTTGCTACTATATATTATCACACTGCTTGTCTTCAATTTCAACCTCTCTATTTTCGTGAAATTCCGGCACCAATTCGCGAAAAATTTCACGCTAAAATGGCTTTGGGGATTAGGTCGGCAACCCGATCATTTCCACATTTACGAAATTATGTACCCCATATTTGACAAATCAAAAGGTAATAAAATGAGTTTCAAACACAATTCACAAGGGAGAATATGCCTATCTGAATATTTCAGCAAGCCAAAACTTGCTGAACGTCGGAAACTACAAATGATCCGAATGCATTTTTCTTCAGCTTTTATATTTTGAAATAATGATGATGAGGTTTTTCAAAGATGAATGAGTGAACAAATTTTCGAAAATGAAACAGAGTAGAGAATCGAAAGCCATTTTCAATGAGATATAACTCAAATTCCATGCCGACAAAAATATATTCATTACACCAGACGACCACAAACGTATTGATGGTGCTGGAACATCAAGTTCGTCAATATCGTTAACCTAAAACAACAAATGCCCAGGATAAAAAACCTCGCTTGATTAAATACACAAATTTCGTACACTTACACAAGTCTGCAACTGTTTCTGATGATTCTGGATGGATTTTCCAAAGGGTTGTAGAACTCTGCCAAAGCCAAAAATAAACAATATTTTAATGAAAACCGCGAAGTATAATTAGTTTCGATTTCGACTCATCCATTAGTAGTAGTATAACATTATTCATAATGTTATACTACGTACTCTACGTACTACGTACTCTACGTACTCCAACCGTCCCAGCTCGAAAAAGCAATCCCGATGAAATGTTCTCGTTATTACAGTTTGGCATTTTTTTTTCAAAAATTTCATTTGGCGAACTAGTGATGATTCGAGTGACTGGCGTTTGTTTTCACCTAGTAATATGAAAATACGAAAAATATACAAATTTAATGGTTCAATGATTCAACTTCTGAAAAAAGGCTTGCGGTTTCACACTTCTCCATCACTGTACAAAAATGTGGAGAACTGTCGAAGAAAGAAAGTAATTCTTTCAATGAAAAACTCAGATGGATCCATTGGTTCAAACTCAATGAGCTCCCAGAATTAGATACATTGAATTTTTCACTCTAATTACACAACACAACAAAAAAATATTTTTTGAATGTTTCCTACACTAAATTAGTCAATTTCTACTAACTTTGTGGTGATAAAAACGAAAATAACAATGAAAAATTTTTATTAGCTCTGGTTTTTGAGATACACAGTACTTAATCTTAAAGAGTAGTTATACTATACGTGAAAAGTGAAAGTACATAAAACAATATTGTTATGTTTCTTTTAGAATATTTTAAGTACAAAATTAATAAANCAAGGATTTTTTATCACTAATTTGATTCAAAACATTTTGGAACCGCTACATATTGTGAATGAGTCAAAAAGGCATACAACATATTAAACATTCTAACTGGGCAATGATAGGTAGATACTGCTACATGTCTCCCCCACATTCAAACGAGTCATTGTTCGATAAATTCTAGCAGATATCGCGGCTTTGTTTATAATATTGAATATAGGCTACACAGCACAGTTGTTTTCTACAAATACATTAAAATCATCTAATTTCAACCCCGAAACAAAAACTTTGTTGTGTTGTGTTATAAATAACGAATTATTGCACTTTCTGTTAACGGTCTAATTCTCTGGTAAACTGAAATGAAATCATGGAAATTCCAAAGATTACTTCCAAAATGTTTTGGCCTACGAGCAGGTTTTGTTCCATCGATTCATTGTTGGATAAACTTCATAAGATGTAAAACACCAAACACCAAAGACGGTAGATTTTTTGTAAAATTGACCTCATGAGTTTTTTGAAATATGGAAGGATTCCATTTAAGTTCAGTGAGTTTTCGAAACACATATCAAACGTGATTCAGCGATTCAAATCCAACGTGAATCGCTACTTTCGCACAGGCACCGATTTTAGAGCACCTCAAGGATTTTCCTGTAGTGTTTGTGTTTTGGCAAAAAAATCAAGAAGCAAGTTTTTAATATGCAAGAAGCAGAGCTAGTACTGGAGTATCGCCAAGTTTAAGCCAAGGAAGCGGCTGGACTAAGAATTTTAGGACCCAGTGGCACCTACGGCCTGATGACTACGACAATTGCGGAACTAACCAAATGGTACACCGATGCTCGATCCCTAAAGAGATGGGATGGAATCAAAGGAGGCAATCTTGACAGAATCACCTTGGGCGACCCTGGAAAGCTGGCGCCGAAGAAATGTCTGGCGATGACCAGAAAAAATCTACGCTTAACAGTAGGATTTCTGACTGGCCGCTGCCAACTAAGGAAACACCTCCATAATATTGGGCTAGTAGACACACCTTTATGCAGGATGTGTGAACAGGAAGATGAGACTGTCAGGCATGTCCTATGCGAGTGCCCGGAGTTATCGTCAATAAGAGAGTGTGTGTTCGGCGAGTCTTGGCCTACATCTGCCGATATAAAGTAGATGTCTCCCAGTGACCTGTCCACCTTCCTGGAAAGGACAGGAGGGACGATGACCTTGGAGGACAAGTCCTCGGGAGGATGTACAATGGGTCACAATGTGTCCTAAGTGCATACACTCACCCTCCCTACTCTACAGATGCAGATGCAAGAAGCATCTATTGAAGGCTTCAACGAAATGAGCGGATCAATATTCATACAGATTTCCAGATTATTATCGAATCATGACTCCTAAAAAATGGCCAATGAAGAACAAGAACAAACTATGTACCAGAACACTGAGGAATCACATGAAATCAAAATACCGCTGAGCGTACCATACACCGATCATCAACTCCTTAAATGAGCCCTAAAACAACTATCGAGTAAGTCAATAAAACATGAAAATATAGTTTCAAAATATACTAGGGAACACATTCGAGTGCCTACTGAAAACCGGCCATATATACCTATTCTCTGAAATGGTATATATAGCATATAATAATGTCAGGACACACGATAGCGCTAGCTAGTCAGTTGATTGATAGGCATATATCGTGTCAAAATCAGGTTACGAAAATAGTTTTCTGAAAACTAGATTGTTGTATACACCTTGATACCACTTTGACTTTTACAAAGCTCAAATTAGACTTTGAAATATTGCTCGGTCGGTCGGTAGCAGGGCGGTTCGACGTGGGTGCTTTGTTCACTCAGTCAATTGGCTGATGTGTGAGTCGATAGTTCAAGCCGCAGGCTGACCGCTCGATTTTCACTTGATATCGTTCAACCCACCGGTATTAGGAATCAGACGTTGAAAGGTAAGATCTCGTTAGTCCTCAGCTCGCACAAGTTTCGTCTTCTGAGGGTTGTCATTCGTAGGGGTGCAATAGCTGTTTGAAGAAAAAAACATATTTTAAACAATCTTTTTAAACATATAAAGATCTTTGAGCATACATTGAGGCTGCTAGATTTCATACAGAAGAAACCATCCGTTGATTAGAGATTCAAACAGTACAAGCAATTTTGATAGTCTGAAACATCGAAGAAATGTTGAAGACTTTGTCATTTATCAATAAAAAATTTCACGTGAATTTTTCAACTAACTTAGCCCGCTCAACTCAATACATTTTAAAATGGAATAAACTGGAATGAATTTCCCGACATGTTTCGTACACACGAATAATTGTCAATTTTGGGTTCAAATATTCAGACATCTTGGGTATCTGAACATACATCATATCCCTGTGTAATCACAATGAACTATCGTTTCCTACATTGGAGTTGAATTGACCAATCATAACTGTGCCATATTTTATTTTGTGATATATAAACATTATGCTTGGAATGTATTGTAAAGGTAGTTTCGTTTGGTTGCAACAAATTCTTTGATAATTGTGTTGGGAATATTTTACCGAGCACTTCACGTAGACTTTAATTTTGCATTTTCGAATACATTTATTTGCTTCTTTATTGTTTAGGCAACATCCCGTATAACAGCTTGAATTCCTTACAGCAAAATCAGAGTCCACAGACGAATATCGTGCTTGTACAAGCTCCCCTTGTCACCACGCTAGCACTTGTGTCGATCTTCCCACAGCCACGTTCACATGCGTCTGCAACTCAAACTTTACAGGCCTACTTTGCGAAACAGAAATGCTGCGAACGCAATATGATATCCCGGCATTCCATGGAACATCGTACGTCAGACTAAAACCCCTCAAAGCATATCATAAACTGAGCATAGAAGTTGAATTTAAGTCTTATACGGAAAACGGAGTGTTATTATTCAATCAACAGAAACTTGACGGGCTTGGAGATTTTGTTTCCCTCGCATTAGTTAATGGTTTTGTTGAGTTCAAATATAATTTGGGAAATGGTGCTGTTCTTATTCGGTCTGTGGATAAAATCCAGCTTGGCAACTTTCATAGGGTGGTCCTTAAACGTTATCACAGAGATGGCATTCTGAAATTAGACGAAGCTGAGGATGTTGCTGGGCAAGCGATGGGATCTTTGAAAGCTCTCGATTTACTTGAGGATACTTATGTGGGGTTTGTGCCTACAAACTATTCACGGTATGTATATGAAATATAATGAATGATATAATCCAGTCAAAATGTGAGAAGTGAGCTCACAATAATTCGTATAGAGCTGGAAACTGATAAAGTTCTTGAATTTACTGTCATAAATACAATATCAGAAGTCCACACTGATCCCACTCGTAGAAGATCAAAAATATTAGTTTTTTGTATTACTCCCAATAGCGGTATATCCTATCTCAAAAATAGATCAAAAGTAGATCATATCAAATCATACAAACATTTTTCGCATACTTTTCCCTAAGAAACACCTAAGAAACACCAAAGTTTGATGAAACTTTGAAAACATCAATATGTCCTCATCATCGAAACTGCAATACAGGGTGTTTATTAAACATGCGGGACTATTCCTTGGACTATAATAAGGATATTTTGTCCTGTGATAATTTTTGATAGGGCGCTTTGTTTCGAAGATACGGACCGAAAAACAATTTCGACAATGACAATGTATTACCAAAAATAACATTTAATATTCTTTAATCTACAAGAACTGTTGAAAATGACTACCCCCCGCTCGGATGCAGGAATTCAATCTTGTCATTGATTCCCGAACTCTTTCACCAGGATCACTTACGAGACATACTATTAAAATTTAATGTCTGCAGTCGTTGCGTTGGTAGTAATCGGAATGTTATTGATAGGTACCAACGGAATTGTTAGGTCTTTCATTACTTGGTAGGTCAAGTATTGTAAGCTACCACAATTGTTATTGTCGAAATTATTTTTCGCCCCGTATCTTCGTAACAAAGCGCCCTATCAAAAAAAATCAAAGGACAAAATATCCTTAGAATAGTCCAAGGAATAGTCTCTTAATTTTTAACCGCATGTTCAATAAACACCCTGTATAATTGTTAAAACAGGCGAATGAAATATCGTTGTTAGTGAAGATGTTAATTTGTTCATACCTACTACTGACCGCATAAAAGACAATTGATGAGATCATTTACTTTTTAAACCGGGAAACACTTTCTCGATGCCTTTGAGGTATCAAAAAACACACGAGACGATGAAAGAGTACAATTATCTTGTATTCCTTCAACATCTGTTTCTGCCTATCAACAGTTGTTTGGCGTCTTCATCTCCGCAGGTCGAGAAGAGTATTGCACTTCTGGTAACTGGGAAAAGCTTTTGTTTTGAAACAATACTATTCAGAATAATGAATGAACAATTTCCGCAAACACTTTTCACCACACAGTATCTCCTTCAGTCCATCAAAATCTCACATTTTACATTATTTGAACTTAATTTTTTTTGCCTCAATTTCCACTTATATTGTTCATTCATACGAAATCAAAAAGTTATTCATTCAAATTAAATACTAGTCCCAACTGCGAGAATCAATCACGCAATTGTAGGTATGCAGGTTTAGATATCTTCACTCTCATTTTGTGAAATTCGCTTCTAACCCACGAACAGGGTTGAAATCTCTTTGTGGATCTACCTCTGTATTCATTAATTGACAGTTTTTTTGTCATCATAAATGTATTTTGATATTGTACAAATAAATTATCATTATTATCAATAATTCAAATTTTAGTGTCACCTGCTCCTAGAATAATGTTGAAAATTGCGCCAATTACACTACCTCGCAGGTGGTGTGAAAATGCGAGCATACTGCTTCCATTTCTGAAATGGCGATATCTCAGGAATGGTGATTCGTAGAAAAAAAAATTTAATATTTTTTCTTAACAATTGAATTTCATTTATAACAACGTGTTCATGAACTGTATCAATTTACTATTCCATGCAAATTGTTATGTCTATTTTGACTGGACTGATATATTACGAGAAAATTTCTTAAATGAGGCGACTGAATTCCCAAAACGTTTCTCTCTCATATTACCAAAAGCTGGAAGATAATTTGAAAAAGTTTCAGAAGACGCATATTTCACAGAAAGCTTAATTGAAAAAAATTATGTGAATACAAAAGAATAATTTAGTTCAATTGCTGTTCTCAGAAATAAACATCGATTCGATGTATAAAAAATTAAGAAATTATTTTTTGTAGACGCCGTGAAATAATAGAGAGAAATTTAGTTTGGAAGTAATTAGTTACTTAATATTTTACTTTGACGATATTCTTTATAACTGATTCATTGGATTTTCAGTGTATATGAAAACATCGGTACAAAGAAGGGTTTCCAGGGTTGTATCAGAAAGTTGAAGATTGGTAGACAAGAAATTCAACTTAATATGAATCAAGACGATTGGGTTTTGAAAACTAAAGGCATACACAACTGCAGCCAGCACGCCTGTTCCCAATTTCCCTGTTTGAATAATGGAAAGTGCATACCCGTAGATGACTTATATCGCTGTGAATGTCCTCTTCATCATAGTGGAGAAATATGTGAAAAGCTTGATGATCCCTGCAGCCTCAATCCATGTCGATATGGTTCTAAATGCAGACCACACTTGGACTCATTTATTTGCGAATGCCCCATTGGACGCTCGGGCCATCACTGTGAAATAGGTTAGTGGTTTCAATGAAATTATTCCAATAGCATTTTTATGTACCATGTTCAAACAGCATGCTTCTACTCACCTACAGCAAAAACTAATATCTTGTTTCGGCAATAAATGCAACCCTGTGTGACACAAAACACAGTTATTTTCAGCACCCTTCAGACTGTTAAAGAAAGAAATTTAGTATAATAATATTTCGATTCGTTATTGCACAGAAAGTTTGAAACATTTAAGATCATTTTTGAATGAATTTTAAATGACACATTTTGTGAAAAAAAAAATAATAATTTTTTTGACAATATGATTGTTATTGATCCTTCATATTCCTAACACCGACCCGTTACCTGGAACCTCGCCGAAGATCAATGTCCAGTTTGGCTTTGCAACTGACTGCCTTGAAAAGTCTCGTTTATCTTTGGTATTCGAGTACCAAGTTCTATTTCGATCCCATAGACGGCGTCTTCGTAAGGGGAGATGTCATCGCTCTTGTTTACTCAGGCTTATTCTTTGAAGGTGGTTGAGTCCAGCAGTGCACCTATGGCGGGTCGAAACAGCGCTGTTAGGTGCGTTGTGTTTGGGCTCTATTTTTCAGCTAGTTGCCTTGTAGTGAAAGCTGCAGTGGAAAACAACGATGTTGAAGCTTAGTATTGCAACTGACCGCCTTACGGAGCCTCGTTTATCTTTGATATTTGAGTTCTCTGTCGATCCATCCCCCTTCGATGGCGTCTTTCAAGGGGATATATCATCGCCTCACTTACTCAGGCTTGTCCTTCAGAACATTTGGGTCCAACAATGAGTCAATGGTTCAGCCTAGCACTACTGAAAGTTTTGTTTCTCATTTTTCATGATGATCTCCTACCACGTAGTAACGGATACATTCATCAATTTATTGAGAAGGAAAAACTCATTGTCAATTCACAGAGATTGTCATTTAATACAATCTGAGTTTTAATAATGATTGAGTTTGGAAATAGAAGTCCGACTCATAAAAAAATTTGTTCAATGAAATCCAAAAACAAAGGTTGTCGATCACATTCGAACAAACATCCATTAGGGCTTCAACTCCTATATCTAGTTATTGAAGATATATTTGAAAAATAATCACTTCTCATCCGCTAACCAGAATATTTGACAGTGGTTAACTGCAAAATTAGTATTGTTGATTACTTTTGGAACAAATGGGTCAAGTCAATTATGAAGTGCGCTATTTGACCAGTCAGTTGCTAAATTATTTTCGAAATGAAAACAGGAAATCCAACTATTTATTTTCATAGTATTTGAAATGAATATTCAAGTTGGCCACTTATTTTCGAAAGTAACTTTCAAATTCTGTTGAGTCGTCGAAGCGACTTGAAAATTGAAAAGGGCCCCTAACATTGAAAAGTTCCATGAACTTATAGCAAATTTTTCCTCTATTTTAAAGGACACCACTGCATCCTGTTATTATCCACATTCGATATAAAATCAGTAAAAAGGTTTATGCTAAACGGTTTCATTGAAAAAAAAAGGTGAAAATGATGTAGATAAATGATTTGGGGGAAAGAATGACCTATGTCCATTGACCGCACTGAAAAAGCAGAAGGTGGATCAATCACTTGCGAATTAACCTTGATAGGAGACTGATGAATATACACATATATATCGACTTGTTTTGAAGATATTTCAGTTCCGCACTGAAATAAGGGCAATACGTTATCTCATCAAAATTGTGTGAAGGAGGAATTTTTTATCACTAATTTGATTCAAAACATTTTGGAACCGCTACATATTGTGAATGAGTCAAAAAGGCATACAACATATTAAACATTCTAACTGGGCAATGATAGGTAGATACTGCTACATGTCTCCCCCACATTCAAACGAGTCATTGTTCGATAAATTCTAGCAGATATCGCGGCTTTGTTTATAATATTGAATATAGGCTACACAGCACAGTTGTTTTCTACCATTATACACTGAATTCAGTAACTTTCCCAAAGTTTAATGAAACTGATATTCCATTGATATTCCGATGTGGAGCTGAAAATTAATCTAATTACGTGCAAATATCCGCATGAACCTTGGAGAATTACCGCATGCATTCCACATTCTAACACTGGAACAGAGAGCTATTGAGTTTTGGAGGGGTAGTTTATTTATATCAAGTGCACTGAGTATATAGTAGATAGTCCAGAGGGGTTCACTTTTTAGGATGTAAATTTTTTTATAAAGAAACGAACATACTGACGAAATTTTCTGTCATGATTGAAAACTATTCAATTAACAGACTGTTAGTTGTTTCAAAAGGTGGCAGTAGAACAGTACCAGTGGCAGGCTTCCTTAACAATTCCCGCTACGTCGTATATGCTCATTATTGCTTGCTCCTAACTTCACCGGGATGAGTTTGCATGTATGAGGTTTGGAATTCACTCAATTATTCCTTGAATGGTTCATAAACTCCTACAACTAACAATCACATACGGTTCGAAAAATGCGAAGGGAAGAAAAGCATCACTAAGTGCTTCGCTTTTGCAGTTTGTATGACTTCCAAATTGACATAAAAGGAATGATTGTCTAAAAGAAGCAACACTGGTTCATCTTTGGTTTGACTTATTCAATGAAGTGCCCTGTTAAGATTAAAAATTCCTTTCCTTGCATTCAACTTGATTCGTTTTCACATCCGATACAACCGCTCGGTCCATTGCTAACAAACATATTTTTGTGATGAATTTCAAAAAATGCAAACATTGCTGGTATAGAATTTCCAATAACGCTAATTGCTATGCACATGGTCACCAGACTTCCTCGTTCTGTGGATGTTAAAGCTCCCACTTACTTCATTTGACTTCTGAACTGTTGTTACACCCATGTCATCGATATTTTAGATGCGGGAAGCAAATAATTCATGTCTATTCAGTACTTCGTGTTATTTCTTGAAGAATGTATTGACGTTATGTTTATTGAAAAATGTAGCTATATTCAATGAAGTTACCCCGGGTGTCACTATCGATTTGTTGGATTCCTCCTTTTGAATTTTAAAAATCAATCGGCACCAGCCATCTCATTGCGATGCCATTGAGGTGAAATGTTTTACAGTTCGAAACCAAACCAAAGTAAACTGCGGATAGTTTCACTAAATAGGATGTCAATATAGCTTCTTGCTCGAAACTGAATATCCATCAATTGCCCTGCCATTTCATATGAATCTTTGAAATGTACACCTTAATCAGTTATCCGTGTGTAGTGTCTCATTACTGAAAAAAACTGAATGCATGTCCATTTATTCATTTCGAATGCAATATTCTACCGCATACGTTTAGATGGGGCCGCGGGATTGTTTGTAACATTTATGCACGCTGTTACAACCAGCAGCAACGGGTCTTCTAGTTGATTATACCTATGAGCCAAGGATACTGACCATCTAAGCTAAAAATTTCAGTGGTTACACCAGTGTATGAAAATGGCGACAAACTGGATTGTAACAATTATAGACCTATATCACTGATATCTAATCTTGGAAAAATACTTGAAACTATAATCAAAGTAAGAAAATCAAAATTTTACGGGCCGGATTTGGCCCGCGGGCCGTAGTTTGGAGACCCCTGATCTAGGACACTAGTTTTTGGCTGCTTCGCATAATGCGATTCGATGAGCCCTTACAAACGATTGACATAAATCAATACGTAGATCATGTTGAATCAAAGCAACTCATCCCACTATCGGACTAATATGACCTACAAAAATTGACTGTTACAACCTGCCCCTGTTACAACCAGCATCGGTATCCCGTACTAACAGAGGGGCCGGAGTGAGGTACATAATTTTTTTTTTGTTATATTAGAGCAGTGATTCCCAAAGTGGTCCAGATGGACCCCTCGGGGTTCACGAGATAGTCGACGGGTGTGTACGTTGTGACCAAAAAATGGGGGTTCACAGTTCGTAAGTGATGGTCCACGAAAAGTCATCTGGTTTCGATAGTGAAGAACTAAAATGATGGTTTGACTTCATCTATCAATGTAGGCAGATAATATTTTAAGAAGCTCAGCGACTGTTACATGTGAAAACTTGCAAATTCCAAATTCAGTGCATCGTGTTGAGATTTGCAAAGCGCCGTTACTGCTGCTGCCGCCGTTCGCAACGCTTGTTCAGACGTGCAAAAGAAACGAAATACAACTTGTGTGTGAGTGTTTGTGTGCTTGCAATCTTGCATGAACTTGTTTGATTCTTCACCAACATGAATATTAAATACGAATGCCAAGAATAAACGTTACTCACTTGTTTCCGGAATTTTGAAAAGTGAAGTAAAGTGAATATTTGAATGAATAACACAAAAAAAATATTTTATCTGTACCACATTGAATGGGGGAGTCTTCTGAATAAAATAAGTGAGAATTGATTGGTTTCTTGTGCTGTGAGTAAATGTCAAAAAAGTAAAGTTGGATGAAATCACTTTTTCGATTGACCGGCTTCACTTTTTCGACATACATTCACAGCACAATCAATTCATCAATCAACCAAACAATTCTCACTTTTTATTCGAAAACTGTTAATTCAGGTTGGAACGCAGCCACAAATTTCCATATTTAGGTCTAATCTACACATTTTTTGGACAAGATTTGAAATTATGGTAGAAATTTAGCTGCAGGGGGTCTAACGTGTCTATGTTTGAACAATGTTACTAGTACCTAAAATGAACAACAATTCAAAACGTGATTTGATGTGATTTCATCCACTGAATACCATAAGCTGTATCCAACTATTGATTATTGTGAAAATTGTTTTTTTTTGGAATGGCCGCCTGTGTTAGGGGGAATGACTGACAAAAAAGAAAAAAATGATAATATCAATAGAAACTTTCGAAAAACGAATAGAAATACAAACGAAACAACTACTTTCGAATTTGAACATTGAATCACACGGATATCACTTTTTCATTCAGTTTATACTACAAACATTTGTAATGAAATTGCAACATTCACAAGAACGCTATATTTCGTATCGATATAAGATTTCATTTACGAGGAAACTGTGCATCTCCAGGTGAAAGTTTTGGATGAAAACACAAACTTCAACTTTTCATCAGCAGTATTTTGGATAACTTTGGAAAACAATTCACACAATCTTTGCAAAAAGTTTACGATTTTCATATAGCATTCCTGTATACCTACGATATCTGTTTCAGTTACATCAATAATGTTTTGTATTAGAAACTGGATGAGAAAAAAAAAGATATCCATGACAATGAATGTTCCTATAAGTATTCGCAAGTAATTTTTTCAGATGCTTTTTTCTTCCGGTTCACTTCATTTATAATGAAGAAGACTAGAGAGAAATTTCCCCCAAATAATTATCTCTCTTGAAAAATACCCCCTTGTCAATCAAATGAGTCCATCTGTATTAATGTATGAATATTCTCAAATAAGAGTGATTGATTCATGTCGTCTCATCACCAAACCGTATTATTACAGAGTATAAAGACGTCCAAATAGTTACTCCAGAGTTCAACGGAAGCAGTTTCATTCAGTTTCCACGATTGGAGGGCATTAAGAAAACGTTTTCAATTGAAGTTTCCTTCATGCCGAAAGCATCTAATGGTCTTATATTGTACAACGGCCAAATGAAAAATGGTCGAGGTGATTTCATTTCGCTGAATCTAGCCCGTGGATACTTACAATTCCGTTTCAACTTGGGAAGTGGAATCGCCAATTTAACGTGAGTATTTTCGATCCTTATCCTAATTTGTTTTTATTTTCGTACTCGAAAATGCCACATTCCCTACGTGTTAATGTTTATTGTGAGGAAGTTTAAACCACTTACCGGTCCCATTTCAACTGTTCAGTGAGCTCATCATTGGTTATGGTTCAGTAATTTGTATTTCGTTTTTGCCTGACACTTTCGAAAATTTGTGATGAAGTAATTGAATGAAAAAAGATGGTACCTAGCTATCTATTGTTTTACGTCATGATTATTTCATAAACATTCAAGGATGTTTACTGAGAATTGTGAATATACAATGTCACCATTGAATTCTGCAACATTTTTTCATCAACATACTTCTACAGAACTGCAATTTGTAATGAGTAAAAATCAACAAGCACATCGGAATATCAAGACATCCTGCATTGAACACCCTTTCTGCGTCATAAAAATCATAGCTGGCCTTGGCGTTGATAAGGGTTGCTACTGTTTTTTTTCCTGTAGAGATTTGGCATGAACCAATTTTGAAAATTCAAACAAAATCAAATCAAGAGAATTCTCAGTATCAATAGTGGGAGCTATCAAGTTGACGCAATACTCTCTTCAACAAGGCTAACATGGTGTGGATTCTTATCTACATAGTCGATCACTTAAAAATCCCAAATCGGATTCAAAAGAGAAATGCGCTTTTATGTCAAGTATTTTTCAGATACATTATAAAACCCATTCTCTTCAAACATCTAATAAAAAATAACTGAATACGTTAAGGAATATGCTTGAAATAAACAAACGCGTTCTCTAGCGAAAAGCATTTGCACTTTATCGAGTTTAATCTCTAATTCGAGTGCAAAATTCACATGGATTCATCCTCCACTTTCATAATGCAATATGGAAATTGTGTTTTCGGTTCCGTGAATTCAGATAAAAATGCTTGGAAAAGGTAGCACGACACATATTTGTTGGAAATAACGGGAAGCTATGCTTTCAGACACCGTATTCCATCCGAATAAAATGCATCCTTGCTTTTGGTTTGAACTTAACATGTTCAGGAACAATATTCATTATTTTGTTTCAGTGAATTTTCAGAAATATTGTAGCTATTTATTTTCAAACATTGCAAAGGATTGATTTGAACTCATGACCCTCTGCCAATATATGCTTCGCGAATATGAAATTGGCCTCCACATCATTATACTCCTCCAAAGTTGAGGTTATGATAACACATAACATTCACATTATAAAATATGAAATGCCTACAGTTTATTAGTTGTGAAAATAACTTTTTATGTAGTATAAAAGAATTGAAACCGTGGAAACTCTTCAGTAAATGACATATGAACAATGTGAAGTATCAAAAGATAGTATTAAGTAGGTACATCATCAATTGGTCTCAAAATATAAGGAGTTGATGAGCTCTCAATTTCGCATTTGATTTTCATATTGAGTTTAATACTCGGCTCGTTTGTAACTCAAGACATAAATTGAGTGGCTAGTGTGTTCTATTATTTATTATCTTTGCAGGAGTGGAGAGCCATTATCTTTGAACAAATGGCACTGGGTTCGAATCTCCCGAAATGGTCGTGAGGGAAAAATGCAGGTGGATAATTCTTCAATCGTAAGAGGATTTTCTGGTACTCCACTCACTGAGTTGAATCTTGAAACGTCATTATACATTGGATCGGTTGCGTGAGTACTGTTTGTTTATATCATATTTGCTGCTAATAATTCAAATGAAACCGCAGTTATATTTGAAAAATTGTACTATAATACTTGATTTATTGAATATTGTGCAAGACCTCGTCATTCCTTAGCTCTCGCAAGTTTCGAGTTCTGGGGATTGTGTTTCGTCGCCTGAGTATGAAAAGACGACGACATTTCCCCACGAAAACAAAGATCTATTGGATTGACAAAATATTTAATTCATGAATATATATGCTTGATATTCGTGAATTGACTTTTTTGTCGATCCCTTAAAAAGTATCTTCGTAAGGAAGATCTAATTAATTTTCTGACCTACCGCACAAAAACTAAAAATTCATTGTATGAATTCGTTGATGACAGACTGATGGTTTCGTCCAGTTAGTTAGTATTCGCTATTCTCAAATCTCAACATAAAACGCGGACGTCCCGCTCTTTTGATCGTAACAAGATATCAGGGTCGGATAAAATTTATGTAAAAAATTCATTTTTAGTACTTTTTGAAAAGAAAGACAATAGTGTTTTCAAATAGAAAGGAGGATCATGTGATATTTCGTATTTAATTCATTCGAATTCTCCATACACTGACCTTAAATTTTTTAAATTTTGAAAACCGGTTGCGAAGTTATTGATATCAACAAGGCTAACATGGTGTGGATTCTTATCTACATAGTCGATCACTTAAAAATCCCAAATCGGATTCAAAAGAGAAATGCGCTTTTATGTCAAATGCTTTGCAATTTTATTCTGAATACGGTTCATTTCCGTGAACAATTTTTTTACTCTACACATCACAAATTTTTGTAACATGTGATGTCCACTTTGGAGCTGTTTCAATTCCTTGTTGGTAGCAAAGTTCCGAGTTAGGTATAATTTTTCCAAGTCTCCAATTCATATACCAATAACTCTGCAACCGTTATCTAAATTCAAAAAAGTGATAGTCGTTGTTTAGAGAATTTGAATACGTTTGGAGCAAGGGGTCACAAGACCTTCCTTTTCATTTGAAATGAAAGAAGTTGATAGCGCCCTCTCTGTGGTGAGTGATGGCACACCATTGACTTCTCCATCATAGAGTACTGAACATGTTTCTTCTCCATAAAAAGTTCACACGACTTTGATATCTTGCCCGTTCAAAAGTTAAAGGGGACTATTTTGTCCACACTCTATTATCTTCACACAGTGTATAAATTTTTTTCACAAATCGTTTTTGCAAGTTCTTGTTTTTGTTTCATATTTTCATATTACAGGAATCGAATGAATGAAAAAAACAACAGGAAATCTTACAAAAACCCGAAAGATATTATTGTTCAAGTGGCAGTGACTGAATAGGTAGATAGGTCTAAAGTGTGTGGATCTATTCGATCCTCCACTGAAATCCGAAATTATTCATTGTGGGTCACACCTATTCAAACACCTACTCAAATGAAATCGATTACTTCATTAGGTGTGTGATCCAGGTCATCTGGCAAGTGTGGAAACATATTTCGGTCCGCGGAGAGGCAGGCATACCTACATGTGCTCTGTTACCAGGTCCTGAATTTCCTTGTGAAGAATAATACACTTCAAGTTTGACACATCATGTCATGTTTTTTCAAACTAGTAAGGATCTGATCGGCGGTCATTCTGCGACTACCTTCGTCAGGTAGATAAGTAACACAAATATGTGTCTTGGGAACTAGATTTTCTGTGATACATTTCATAACTGAATGGTACTAACTGCATCCACCAGCCAGGAGATGCACTCCTGATCCTCCTAGGTAACCTATAATCAACCTAGTCGGGATGTGAAATTTGTAGACCATCTCCTTGACTATCCTCTACGGCATCCATATTGGCATACTATTAGATTCCAGTTGATTGGTCGATATTGAGGTTATCGGATGTTGAAGGTGAAAGATTCTAACCTTGATACAGCAACTGTATGTTAGCTATACCTTACGATACATTAGATTCAGTGAAGCAGGATTTTTTCGCCTCTTGTTTGAGTGAATCATCGTTCTTGCGTAAACATATACTGTCCGCCTCAAGAGAAGTTTGTTTCCTCCCCTGATATGAAATATACTGCTCAAGAATATAGTTCAAAGACGATTCATAAAACATACTGCTTTTGAGAAGGGACAAGTCGCTTCCGAGTCTTCTAGATTTTTTATAACAGGAACTTACTTGAGAACTGACATACTCTTGCTCTTGATCCCATTTTATAAGAGGACAGTTGGGTTCATTCAGTCAACGTTCATGTTATCTGTGGACTCAGGGTCTGATTCTCTGGTACATAAAGGGTTTCACGAGTTGCTAGGGAAAGGATTTCCATCACGGCAGAGCCCCACATCATAGTGACAACATTTTCTAGGACAAGAAGGTGCCTGGAATCTCGAATGTTCTGTTAGTAACACCTCAGTGTACTCAGAGTCATATATCCTTTGGGCACAGATACACAAATCTCAGTATGAGGTATTTACTTGAGAGGATTCTTACTCCTACGCGGGTGACAACTTATCCATCAGAGGTATTCTAACGCTCCCAACTACAGAGAGTGCTGATTGGTTGAATCTCGATTGTTGATTTTGATTGTATCCAAGGTTATGTGTTTCTTTTAATGAAAATTCAACGGTTTCTTGTGTTTCGTGAAATGTTGTGGCAGTTCTTGATAATCAACTTAAAATGATGTAATTGAAATTAATAACAAAGTTATTTTCATCAAGGCAATTACCCGATTTTGACATACAGTAATTGGTAAAACGTCTATAACATGATTGATTAATGTTGCTTTTTTATTAATTTCATTATCGAAAAAATATAATTATTTTCGTCAGTTGCAATCTATAAATCCCTACTAATATTATAAATGCGAATGTTAGTTTAGTATATAATAATTTTCAAAAATTGACAAACATTAAAATATAGTTCTCATACAGATTGATTTCTATTGTACTGACACTTATTTAATGGCATAAATGCGTGCGAAGCCGCGGGTAAAAGCTAGTAATATATAATATATCCAAGATTTCATTATCCGTGATACCTCAGTTAAGATGTCGCGAAGAGACTAACTCATTCCTCATTTTTTTTTTCCGTTCCATATAAAAAATTGATATTGATGATGGTTGAAGAGAAAAAAATCCGTGCGGGTAGGCCGTAGTCAAGAGGAACCTGAAGTATCAAATTGTCGAGTCAGTCATTGATGAAACTTTTAAATATAACTTTCGTTCTCTAAGTTGACGCACATATCATTGATGATGTCTGCTGCAGTAGCCGACGAAACGTTTAATATTTCAGGTTACATTCAACTACGGCTTTCCACCCTGAAATTTTGTCTCTTTCGTGAAAGCCATCACGTAAACCTTGTACCTATAGTTCGAAAAGTGGCACTAACCGAAATTTTCTGAATCTCAAAACTTCATTCAAATAAACTCTAAAATTTGCAACTTCTTTGGAATGGAATAGACTTTCTAATGCAGGCCTTCCCGGCAGAATTTCACCGTTGAACTCAATGAAAAGGAGATATATATTTCATTTAATCACCATACATACATACTTTGCGCACATTCAGAGAATTCAGAGGTTATTGTTGCCAGATTAGTATCTGGTCATGAAATTTCTTGCTCGAATTTTGTCTCTCAATTTTGCAAAGTGTCCCAGAAACAATTGCATAAATAAAATATTTATTATTACTAAACTCCTCATCTGAAATGATCCGAATATTCGAAAAAGAAAAAAAATTCTCTGTTACTCAAACAAATATGAACTATAGGAATTGGAAACAAATCCATCGACTCTCAGGCGCTTCGAAGGGCTTCAAGGGAGCTATACAAGGAATCCTCCTTAATGGTAATCCACTGCCTATATCAAGACTACTTCCAGACTGTGTCATACATGCAGCATACAATAATTCCGGGTGTAGCTCTAATATCGGCTTCTATGATGGATTACCCTGCTCTCTGTCGAAAAATCCTTGTTCAAATAATGGTCTTTGTGTGCCTGATCTGGGGGATTTCAGTTGCAAGTGTCCATCAAACTTCAAAGGGAAATATTGTGAAACAGGTAAGCACTTTTATATGATGCGGATCCAGTTGAATAGAATGAAATCCAATATGTTGTTGCAGTGATCGAAATGAAAACGAATCAGTTTTTTTGTGATACTATTTCGTGTTTTGGAATCTGTCAAATTTCTCCTTTGTCCATAGATACGAGGTGAATACAATGTGTATCTCAAAACCATAAATATTTCATGTACTTTATTGAGTGAAAAGAAGTGTGGAATATATGCGAATCATTGAATTTTTATCATTAGGATAGTGATTATTTTCATATCGACTTTCAACAAACTGAAAACAATAAAAAAATTCAATGGAGGTAGAAGATAAAAATCCCCATAAAGGCCAATATTTGGTCCACTATAAATGACTGTTGTTCAATACAGTATTTAATTCAATTTTCTTTATATAATGATAAAATATTCATACAGTTTCCTGAATGTATATAGTCTTTTCCGAAAAGGAAGTTATTGTATAGCGAAACATTTGTCGCAGTTTTCATATAATGGAAATCCTGAAGGAAATGGTACCAGTAACTAAATGTTGGACTCAACTGTCTTTTCAAGGGCAAGTCTGAAAAAAAGGTATCAAATGCAGACCCGTAGGTAATTCCGAAGTTACCAAATGAAGTTCATTTTTATGAACGTTAATGGCAACTATCTGGATTCTCTTGGTATTGGTCCATACTTCATGAAAATTTTCAATAAAGAGTTTACAAAACCGTTACACGTCTTTAACTATACAATAGCTTCTTCAGACGTGTTCATACAGTATGAAAAACCTATTCTATAATAAAACAAGTGAATTGTTTTGTGAAAATCTCAGAATACAGTGTTACTTGAATATATCTGGATTCTTTTGTTAAGAAACGGGGACATTTATCGAATATATGACCTGTATAAACCCAGACAAGTATGCTGTTGGAACGTTATGATCGAACTTGAATCTGGCCGACGAAATATTCTCGCTATAAAACCAAGTAGGTATGAAGTTTTTGAAAAACCTCGATTTGAACAACCTCAATAAATACGTCACCAATCCCCAAATTATCTCTAGACGCCACTGTGGTTTGGAATTTCTCGCTCTATATTGAGTTACATGCAGAACTCTATTCGCCAATAATACTGTTACGCGGTTGTCCCAAATTCCTCTTTGAACCCAACTTCAAGATCATTTCAGTTGGAAAATCAACTATTCGACATGCTCAACATAACTACAATAATAGAATGTAGATTGTGAATAATTCATCAATAAGAATGTTAATTACCTCCACTCAATCCACATTCGCGGCATCACCTCAGTTTAACAACTCTGGACCGGGACTTAATGAGAGTAATACGCTGCTTAATTTTGTTCCAGTCGAAAATAATTTCCTGAAGAGAATTAATGAGTCAGCATTATCATGACCTCTGATGTGCCTTTCGCGATATGAAAATTGCGAGTTTTTCATTTCAACGATGGCTTGAGTGTATTGGTATAGGCGAAGAAATTGAGGTCAATCCAATCGGAAAATATGCAAATGAAAAATAATTGAAATTTTCTGTTTCATCAGAAGTTGAGTTTTCAATTGAAAATATACAATATTCAATTCTTCCACAAGGCTATGGGCTAAAGTGAGAATTCATTTTTGTAATCGACTCTTTTATTAATAAAAACTGATGAAACTGATAAAAGAAAATTCACGCCAAAGTACCAATTCATTATTTTATGAAAGCTGATATAACATTTATAAAATATAATATACAAAGCATTACATTTTGTATGAAAATTCTAGGAATGTTGATACAACCTATATACCCAAACAGAGTAAGAAGCTTGAACTTGACAAAAATGAGTAAGGCTGCATAACTCTCATCGAAGCAATAGCTTCATATGACTATTATAAATAACTTTCATCAAACTCTCAAAAATCAGTGATGAAATGTATTTTTATGTCAATATAAAAGAAAATCCTCAATAGGGTATGTGGAAACAACACGAAAAATAGACATTTCATTTATTTAACCTGAAGAAAATCGCTGGAGTAAAATGTCACATAGAAAACCATATAGCTTATTGAATATTAACGACAGACAAACTAATTCATTTTTTATTTTCAAAAAACTATTGAATAGTTATTCAATATACCTGGAGACAAGTTGCATCAGTTCCATAGATACAAAAAATATTCATTTCATGATCAAACTATAGACCCAACCCGACGTCGCACAGGTTCCCGGTTCCACCTAAAGGGCGAGCTTTGAGAAATATGAAGGCTAAAAGTGTTGCCTTGTAGAAAGTAACAGTGAAGAACTTTCGAAAGTATACGAAAAGTTTACAACATTCCCAAACATTAACGAAAATTCTAGAATGTTGCAGAAGGGTCGAAAATAGTCTGGAACGTTCCCAGATCATTGTAGAACGATCAAGGGAGCTATATGTTATGGTAGCCCTCTATTTCTCATCCATGAAAACAGTTTCCATTTTCACCTGAAGAGTGTGCTTTTGGAAAAATGAGGGGTTGAATTTTTGCTTTCTAGAAATTTTTAAAACAATCTAGAACAATCGAGAGAATTTGAGACCCTTCTAGAACATCCTGGAATATTATGGAATGTCCGACTATAGTCTGGAACGTTTGAGATTATCCTATAATATCCCAGATTACTATAGAATAATCAAGGGGTAGCCCTCTATTCCGCAGCAAAAATGAAGGTTTTTGTTTCTTCACTAGAAGAGCGTGTTTTTGAAAGTTTTGCTTTTTGAAAATGTTCGGAGCAGTGCAGAGTACTCGTATAATCTTAGTAGGTTCATTTTGGTGAACTTGTGTTCAATATATCAAATTTAAAAACCTACTCGTATATGCCGTTTACTGATTTGATATACTTGCATGACGCACCTACAAGAAATAGAGTTGAAAGAATGGAAAACATCATGTACAAATCAAAAATTCAATTATGTGTTTCCATAAATTCATCTTCACTGTGAGTAAGTTATATCCAGTTGAGAATAGAACCAACTCTCTCAATTTTGTATATTAGATTCACAAAGCATTCAGCATACGGCTGTACTTTCAAAATATTGCTCAATGAACGTTAGTAATATCAAAACTGTTTTTCAGAAAACATTTTAATTTATTCCGACACCATTAATAAATTGATTTATTATCCTACAGATGTAAACGAAAGAAGTACAATATCTACTACTCACAAAATTATGATGTGCTACATAACCAAGCTAACTAATACACTATATAGGGTCTCACAAAAATCGCGACACGTGTTTCGTTATACAATAGCTTTCTCGAGCGTAGAATACGCTCGAGAAAGCTATTGTATAGCGAAACACGTGCCGTGGTTTTTGTAAAACCATTTATAGTGAAAATCATACAATTAAATGTATTAGTTAATTTTAAGATGTATTTTCATCAAGTATCGGCCAGTTCTATTTAATTACATTACAAAGGTTCTCTTTCTCTGGTGAATTCCATTTATCAATTAATGTATTCCAAATCAAATATATAACCTCGTGTCGAAGTTCGTGATACGCCATTTCATTCACACTTTGACAGACCAAAATATTCAAGTCCATATTGCAAAAAAAGTTTCGAAGGGGTGCTTGAAACACTAAACATCATATTGAAAATATGTGATAGATTCAATGAAAAAAAAATACGTAGATCAATTTTTACTATTTTAGAAAACATCTGTGAGACTAATCTCTGTGAGGGATCTTGCATAAATATGTCTGTCGGATACAATTCAATATCTAACGTGGTATTAGAGGGGGAAGTAGTTGTTTTCCGGCAGGCATTTACAAGAACCTACTGTGTAGGTAATTGGAACAGATAAAAATTCCGGGATTTTATTTCAAAATAAAACGAAAATGCACTCTTTGAGTATTCCTCACATATCTTGGGATCTCAATAAAACATTTATTCAAATCGTTCAATTATTTATCGATATAATATACACACTGTAGTTTCAGTGATTCCAATACTGTACATCGGAAAGTGGCCACCCTTCATACTACAGGATGGATACATACCTATTGAACAGCAAAAAATTAGAGATATTGTTTTTCAACCTTAGTGATCAATTTCAATTTTCAACTCTGTCGAGTTATTTAACAAATTCATCGGCATATTAGCCAAAGGAATCTTATCAGCTTTATTTTCACTGTTGTTTAAAATTTCTGGTTAGGTTTGCAAACCTGTTAGTTTCTACTCACGCTTCTTCATTTTTTTTCCTTATATTTTCAGCGATGTAAAAAATAATTTTGTTCCTAATCGAAGAATATTTAAAAATATAACATCACAAGCAGACTTGAGTTATACGGAAAATATAGTAGTACACCAAACTTTCTTTCAAAGTGTGCATTGGGTTCGAGAGTTCTGAAATATTAAAATTTCCTTTTCCGCAAAGCTTAATATGTGTTTTTAATTTTCACAGTGAAGGAAGAAAGCCTCGCTCTGAAATTGAATGGCATAACTTTCCTCCAGTACCGCAATAAGGGCTACAGAAGGTAATTATTGAACTCTATTTGAATTAACAGTACTAACTATACTAACAAAACTATTACTAACAGCGATAATATCACATACGATTTCGAATATGGTGAAGAGACACGTAACGCAACATCAGGAGAAGAAATTAATGAAAACAATTATTTGTATGATGAAAATAACTTTGACTTTGACCTGGAAGATATGGAAACGTTGTGAGTATACTCGTATAATGTGATGATTATAGTAGAGTTAACTAAATAACAATAGAACTCAAGAATGATTATCACAAAATAATTGAGTCATGCAGTGTGTGCGTATGTGTGAGGGTGTGTGTGTGTGCATTTTTTTTTCAAACAAAACTTTTTCAATATTCAGTCAACAATTTCCCTTCACTACTGAAGTTTTGGAAATATGCTGATAGATAATGAGTTCTTGTTGTATTTTCTATGACATAACTGCATTCAAATCATACTTCACATAATCTTTTGATATAGATTTCGAATATATCATCTAGTGTCACTACTTTCCGGGTTCGTATGCCGTGAATTTTTGGAATTTCTTCCTGACGTTTCGCTGGCGCGAGTGACTAGCTTCCTCAGAGGTTTATACATCCTGACTTGATATTTCCGCCGACTGGATATTACGGCTGTATAACGCGTATTTATGTTGACTGTTGAGGTAGTTTGGTGTGCTATTACCTATATATGGCTTCGGTAAATTACGTGAAGCGTGTTTATATTAATTGAGATAGTCTGATGTGATAATGCATGTACCTGGATTTGGTCGTTGACCCTTTTCTACCTGCCGTCATGCTGTTTGCTATTCTTGAACTTCTCAGAATGGGATTCCATATTCGATTGAGGCTCACAGATTCTTCTTTTCTGTTGGAATTATCCGTGTGATTGTGGATTTCTATTGCATCCCGTACCAGTCGGCTATGGTATTCCTGGTCGGGGGCAATGAGTTCCGTGTTTTCAAACAAAATTCTGTGGTTTCCTTCACCGAGTGCGTGTTCTGCCACAGCTGACTTATCTGTTTCGCCTAGTCTGCAGCTTCTTCTATGCTCCTTCTGTTTTGTTCCCATTGATCTTTTGGTGGTTCCGATGTATACCTTTCCACAAGTGCACAGTATGCGATAAACTCCTGATGCTAATAGTGGATCCCTTTTGTATTTGGCCGACGTGACGCTTTGTAGAATTTGCTTGATGGGTTTGATGTTGTTTTGATATTGATGTTGTGTTTCCCCAAGAGTTTTCCAATGTCTGTGACCCTAGATATTTGGCATATCTAATCCAGTTCTTCCTCCTCCACATTTTCTTCGAGCCCGTTCCGTTAAAGTGAAGATGACTCCTCTCCTTTGTCTAGGATAGTGGTTCGATAGTGCGTGTAGGTGCCTATCCCTGTGCGTGGGTTTTTGGGTACATTTTGTGGGTTATTCTAGCACCACATCGTTCGATTAGTATATCTAGGATTGCTATTTGCTGCTTCTGTTCAGTCTCCATGGTGAACCTTAGTCAGATACAGGTAATAGCATACCAAACTAACTGAAGAGTCAACATAATACGCGTTACGTAGCCGTATTATCCAGTCGCGCCAGCAAAATATCAGGAAAAAATTCAAAAAATCCACAACCTTCAAACCCGGAAAATAGTGACACTGAAAACTTCGGCCGCGAAGGCCTGCACCATTTCGTCAGTAAATCATGCTTGAAGATCTCGCGTAACTCTAGAACTCTGTTTCCAGTTTTTCCAATAGACAAATGGTAGTAGTTATAATTCAAATAGTCATTCAGGCAAAATGAGAACTCAATATTATAATTGAAGATGGAAACATGAATCTGTTGATTAAAATGCAAGTTCATTTCTGATATTGATTTTATTCAATTCAATATTTTACTGAAAATGTTGAAGTTGCAAATTATTATGGAGAATATTTCAAAAATCTCTGCGAAATGAATTTTGATGAAATGTAAAATTGTAGAACGAATAGAAGTGGATATACAGTTCTGAATTATCTTGATGGTAACTGTTTTTTCGAAATTTGTTGTTAGAACTGTAAAAAATGTAATTGTGATGATTTGAGAGGCAAGAATTGATGCAGAATATTTTTTTGAAGGAAAATTGTTTGAAACGTTGTTGGAATATTGAGGAGTTGACACTGAGAAACGAGAAAAAAATAATACTCGTTTCCGTATATCATACGGACTAGCGAAGAAATAAAATCGATCGAAGATTTGAAATATTCCTACTGAAAGGGTACGTTATTCAATTCAAACTATCGAATTTTTATTCACTTTGATAGTAATAATTGCGATGTAATGATACCGCACGCAGTGACACCAAATGTCGAGTTTGGATATTCATTGATTGAATTGGAGAGTTATTTGCTGTGTTTTCGGAGCATTTGAGGTACTTGTATCGGAATGATGGAATATGCAGTGATATTTTTCCAAATATTGAGTACAGTTTTTGTATATTACAGAAGTTTTTCCGAACACCAAACCGATACTCTAACACCTCGACACGTGTTTCGATCACCAAGTGATCATCTTCAAGAGGAAGATCAAACTAATCATGTTCACAACGGTATCCTTATTTATACCATAGATACCTCTTCCAGGTACCTGCGTCTTAAATTAATTTCACAATATTGCATTATCTACTAGTCTTAAATTAATTTTACAATGTGTCCTTATATAATAGTCAGGTAAATCTAATAATTAAAATATTATTTCAACAAGCTATATAGTATACTATTAGGTATTGGTCCACCATCGTTATTCATAATATTATTATGTTTACTCATTTCTACACTCTCATAGGCATCTGGATACCTGTTGTTGTTAACTTGTTTAACTAATCTTAATGAACTAAAGCCTATGGAATGGTATGGTTGCAAAATATTATGGGCGACTGCTGATTTTTCAGGTCTTACATATTTCGAGTGTGTTCCTTATATCTTATTTCAATAGATCTTTTTGTCTGTCCATATTATTTTTCATCGCAGCCCTTACATTTTACTTCGGAAATTCAAGACTTTTTAGAATTCTCGACTTCATCTTTTGGACTTCCTAAAAGGCTATGTAGTGTAGTTTTAAAAACCACCGTAATACCTAGTTCCTTGAAAATCTTTCCATAGTTCTGCGTGTATTGGTGGTATGGAACTGAGATATATTTATCTTGGTTTTTGTCGTTTTTAAAAGTCGTTTCTTCTTAACCTAATTTTTTTCTTCCTTATTATGTCATCTACAATACCCCTCGAGAAACCATTAGTGGCTGCTATTTTCTGTATTGTACATTTTTTGTGAACCTCTCATGTGGGAGAGGAAAAATCAAAAGACGATGCACTAGAAAATTCAGCCCATGTTTCTTTCCTGAATACATCATATTCTAGCCCTCGATATTGGCTCCTTATTACCAAAACGTCAAGAAATGGAAGTTGTCCTTTATTTTCTACCTCATACGTGAATTTTATTGATGGAAATCTGTTATTCAAAAAGGAAACAGAGTACTCAATATTCGATTTATTGTTATCGAATATCGCGAAAACATCATTCACATACCTTAGTCATATCCTAGGTAAATACTTTGACTTTTCTTTGGTTTCCATTTCGAATCTGCTCATGAACAGGTTTGCCAGGTAGGGAGACAATGGGTTACCCATAGCCGTTCCCTCCTGTTGTTCATAAAAGCAACCTTCTCCCTGGAACCGGTTTTGTTTCATACACAAATTAGTGAGAAAAACGAATTCATCTATTTGTTTTTATTGAAATCATTTTTCTCTAGTAACTCACTGAGGTATTGTAAGGTTTGTGGAATATAACTAACCTAACTCACCTTCTTGCAGAACGATGTTTTTTGTATGTTGAATGAACTCTAGTTTTCGATACTCAAAACTGGTTCCGAAATAGGCAAGACTTCAAATTCCTTAGTAAGCTATTTTGCTATATGGTAGGTAGGAGATCCAGTGCCTGACACTATGGGCCGCATTGATTTTCCCGGTTATATTATGGACAGACAAAAAGATCTATCAAAATAAAATATAAGTTACACTTAGCACACTTGAAATATGGAAAACCTGAAAAATCAGCAGTCACCCATCATATTTTGCAACAAAACCATTCCAGAGATTTCAGTTCATTAAGATTAGTCAGTTAACAACAACAGGGCATCTAGATGCCTATAAGAGTGTAGAAATAAGTAAACATAATATGATGAATAAAGATAGTGGTGGATCAATACCTAATAGTATACTATATAGCTTGTTGAAATAATATTTTCATTATTAGATTCACCTGACTACATAAGAACACATTGTGAAATTGATTCAAGACTAGTAGATAATAAGGCAATATTGTGAAATTGATTGTATATTGCTTGTTAGAATAATAAGTTAATTAGTAGATTTACCTGACTAGTACATAAGGACACATTGTTAAATTAATTTAAGATTCGTAGGTAGATGAGGCAATTTTGTGAAATCAATTTAAAACTCTTGAAACGTAGGTACCTAGAAGAGGTATCTATGGCATGAATAAGGATAACTTTGTAAGTATGATTAGTTTGATCTTTCTCTTGGAGATGATCACTTGGTGATCGAAACACGTGTCGAGGTGTTGAAATAACGGTTTGGTGTTGGGATGAAACTCCAGTAACATTCATTACCACACCAAAGGTTCCAAACAGTGCATCACAAGTACCAATTTTTGTGTTATTGTGAAAGCCTAGAATTCCGCAAAACACAACTTCAAAACTTCTAGGGCTATATAACCTTCTACAACCTAAGGAATAAACGAAGCTAAATCAATAGAGAATCTGATGAAGTGATCTTTTCAGTTTGCACTTAATTACATTTCAACAGATTCTCTATTGATTAAGCTGTGTTTATTTCTCGGATTGTAGTGGTTTACATACCCATAAAACAGTAAGAAGTCAATCAAGTCAGTAAATAATTATTGATTATTATGTTAAAAATAATTTCGAAAACTTACCAAAGAATGGAAACAGAGCTAATCCAGTAGAAAGTTATCAAAATGTAATGAAAAGAATCAGATGTCATGCATGGAGTGAATTTTGAACATGCTTCGATACGGCAAATCCCATTTTCTCTTCTGACATCATGGTTTATACCACCCGGTATATGGTACTGTCAACACATCCTCATCAAATCATATTATTTCTTGGGATTATGAAATATGTGAAATGAAAGTATTCCATCACCTCGGTATCATTGAAATTCCTGATAATAATTCATATAACGATCACTTTCCGTGAAGTATTATTAGTGCAATAACGAGATGTGACATAAAACATCGTTTTTAATATCCGGCATCAAAATTTAGTATATAGTATAATGTTCACATTTAATACCTCACTCTTAAGATATTAATTTTCAGAAGGAAGCCTGAAAGAGGAAACAGGTATGAACTTCTAATACGCACATTCATGCCAGACGGGCTATTATTGTGGAGAAGTAGAAATAGAAATCATGTTCAAGACTATCTTTCTATAGCAATCGTTGATGGTTATCCGGAACTCAGCTTCAACTTAGGACATCGCAGTTCATTTTGGGCAGTGCGGTAAGTTTTTTATTTTTATAAGTATATATGTCTCTTTCTTCATATATATACTATAGGGATGCAAAAAATAGAAGATCAAATGTATAATACTCAGCATTGAGAACCAAGTCAGCCCCATTTTCTTTTAAAGTTATATAACTCAAAAATCTGAATTTCTCTCAGAAGTTCATCATTAGAATATGTATTCCAAAATCCATGCATTACTATTTTAATGAAACTCTGGAATCAATGTTACCTGGGAGTTATGAAACAATATCTATGACTATCAAAAGATTCAACTCTTTTTTTTTGAGATATCAGTTTCAAAAAAAATTCAGGCATCAACATTGAACTGCCATAAGGAATCATGGCTAAATTAGTATCAGGAAGGATTCGAAGAAATAATTATGAATTTTAGAAGAATTTAATAGAAATTTAGTTCAACAAAAATAGTATTACAAATCATACATGTATCGTTTCCCAAAGCATTGGAAAAAATAACCAAACTTTCGCAATAAGCTGAAAGGAAAATTCGAAAGAAATTTTGTAATGATACATATAGGAAACTATGAGGTGAAGCACAAAAGTTTCAACGTCACATTTGCATTCGACTTTTCAGTTTCATATGTTTGAATTTGTATGCCTTTCTTATATTTCAAACTAACTTTAGCGAGTCTTCTGTAATATTGTTATTACTATATAACGATTGCTTCACATTAATTTTGATATTTTTGATGAAAGAAAAAATAAATTTCCGAAAGTAACTTACTGGAACTACACCAAAAACATAATAATAATAAAAATCGTTTCAATCAATAACTCTCTTTATAAAGTCAAAGATTATCAAATTATCATACTCATTGAAAAATGAGATTTATGTGACGGTATGACATTTGTCAAACCAAAAAAATTCTTATGTTTAACTTAATTTTGATTTGAATTATATGTTCAATTCATTGTTTTTCACTCATTTTTACTGTAAGTATAATTTGTAATGTTATCCAATTTAAAAAAATCCACAATTTAACAAATTATAGGCCCTGAAGAAGCTTCTCATCAGAAGCGAAAGCTTGGCAAAGTAGAGCCGAGTTCTGATTTTGATTTTTCAACTGAGAGACTCCGGGTTGAACGGCGTCTGTAATTATCATCTTTTCGACGTTTTGGCTTTAAAGCCACTTGGGTGTCGTAATTTCTCTGACCCCCAAGTCTTGTCACTGACTTTGTTCTTTCTTTGTTCAGGCTCCAAGTGAATGCTGGTCCACTGATCACTTTGTTGTTCGGGGCCAGTATTTATGCTGCTGGACAGGTATGAAGTAGAGGTATCGTTACAGGTATAGTTCAAATAAACGATATAGTGCACCCTACCTTCCAGCAGTTCCCCTTTAATAAAATAGTTAGGGAGCTAATTGATTTTGTTATTCTCCAATAAGCAATTCTGATTATATAGGAATCTCACAGAGAGAGATTTTATGGAGTGTGCATGATATAAATCAAAAATGAAAAAATTCGTGGATACAACACTCCAAACAGAGGGCCAAACCGCGGACACGTGTGTTTCTGGCTATTGGCCTCATCAACGCGGTGCAGCCAAGTGTAAAGTTGGCAACACTTGTTTGCCGAAAGCAGGAAACAACACAAAAAACACAAAAATAGGGCGGAAATCTCAATATGGTTTGTCCATACTTTTCAGCAATACTCTTAAGGGCATACACTTTTTCGAATGTTTTTGTATGTAAAACTTCAAGTAGTTGGTTTTTGGTATACTTATCTTCAAAATACAAATTGTTAGCTTGACGTGGGTCACTTTGAGATGTTTGACGGGACAATAGTAACATCCATGATTGTGGTAGTCTTTGTGAATCATATCACTTGTTCAGATAGTTGGGACGTTATTTAATTGTCCATCTTCAGGCATGAAACTTACTCTGAAATCTTCTGGTGAAATAAGTGGCAACAATATCGGTTTCTTCTAATTCTTCAAAGCGTACTCGACCGGTAATGTGTTGTGTGCTCACACATCTTTGGTTCTCTTGTCCCTACAGTAATATACCTATCATCACTAACTTATACCTCCCTCTCAACTTCCGTTCGCCTCGTCCGATCATACTTTTCGTAACGCTCTCGTCACGTATTCACCAGCTTATTTCCCAAGTCAAGCGCGCGTAAAGAAGTTTTACTTCAATACTTTCAACTATCAACTAAGCAATGAAGTTATCAAAAAATCTTAATTATTACTCGTCTCTTTTAGATAATCAAACTAATTTTATAATAACTTTCGCAGAAGAGTGGCTTGAAAATGATCTGAAATGTTCGGTGATCAGTTGGCGTGCAAGAGTATTAGGAATGGTAACGATTTCACTGTACTCGAATTTTTCCATATCATTGAGTCAATGAAGCAAATTGTAGATTCTGAACACCAATGTTATTGACATGTATTCAAAACATCAAATCAAGAGCTATTGAATAACTTTCCAGGTCAAAAAGAAGAGTAGATGATGGGCGTTGGCACACAATTCATGTAAGAAGAAGGAAACGTGTTGGTTTCATTTCAGTTGATGGAGAACCTGATGTGAAGGGAATTTCCAAAAATGGTGCTATTTCACTACGCACCAATTCCAAACTTTGGATAGGTGAGTAATAGATGGAATAATCAATGAATCATCAAAAATATTGTTGACATTCTAATTTCAATAAAAATATCAAGATATTTTTTCATTATCTATCGTGTTCACAAAAATTTTCATCTATATTTATATCTCAAAAGGAATATTCATTCATTTATATCTGACTAGCGATCAGGTTCGACGCACTAATATATCTTCTTCTATACTTATAGTCTAATCAACAAGTTCAAAAACATAAAAAATAGAGACAAAGGTCCTAAAAATAAGAGCGGTAGCTCATTCGATTCGGAATCACCTCTAGAAAAATATTTTTGAAGGATTTTGGTGCAGGTGAAAAATAGCAATTGTTAATAACAAAATAAGATTTAAAAAAATTGTATTTAGTTTTTCGTTAATAACTCAAAAAATATTAATATTCAAGCAATTTTTATTTTCATATGTTTGAATTTGTATG